GTAGTGGAAGTGTCCTTTCTGTATTATTGTAAATCCACTGTAGTATTGTTAACCATTAATGGTTATATAAATTTAAAAAAGAAAAAGAAAACCGCCTGTTTATGATGATGGAGTAAACTTGCATAATTTGGGCTTATCAGATTGCTTTTCCCTAAAACGCAGAGATGAAAGATAAAAATTAAGTCGAAATCTTTGGACTTAGTCAGGAGGAAATCATCTGAGTAGACACCAACTATTTATCAATACAATACCATACCGTGATTCTATACCCTACCATACTATACCATACCATACAATACAAGTTTATTGTTTCAAACGCTTAGCTATTCAGGTGTGAAATGAAACGAAACACCAGCTGTAGCAGCGGTTTCATCCGCAATCAACATTTAGCGTAAGGATGTGCTTAGGGACACTTCGCAACCGCTATGTAGCATTTATTAGTTGATAATTTAATAAGGCAACTTCTGAACAAGGTTTTGTTCAGTCTAAATTCTAATTCTAAATTCTACTACTCGCGTGTTATATTATCACATTGTATTCCGCACCCTTTACCCTTATTTCTATAGAGACTGACTGTTATGGAGACTGGGTCACACCAAGTAATAGGTAAATGTTTCCATTATGAAAGATCTAGATTTGATACTACGATGTTTTTAATTTGTGATTTTAATTCAGGGACCAAACCGTGTTTCAAGTTTCGATCCTCTACTGATTGCGATACAAAGCGTTCTAAAGTTAACAACTTAGAAAATACAATTCAGATCACGAAAGCTAACTTAGTAACTATAATCAATAATTAATGTTGGTTACAGCTCCAACATATGTATTGACTTGAGTCATACCCAACTCAACTCACCTAGCCAGGGCATAAATGATTCCCTGTCAAAGAAAAATCTAAGAGCAGACATGTATTTACATGGGCTTCTAGCCTCTGTAATGATCACAGCTACAAACGGAATAACAAAAATGATAACGTCAAACTTCAAAGGCGTTAACTTTGCTAAAGAAATAAGAGGAAGAAGACTCAATGGAAGCGTTACTAGAGAAATGGAAGTAGAGTCGGAGGGTTCTT